CGCCGTGGTTCGCTTGGCGATCGTGTACACCTTCCGTTGTTTTCGTTGCTTGCCTTGGCATTCACAGAGCACATGGAAGGAAGGAAGAAGCAGGGGTGGGAAGCTTATTCAAATATCAGGCCTAATATCCACGGCTGAGGAAGGTGCAAAGTGGTATGCACAAGGCCTTTCTGTGTGCTTAAATATATTGTTTTTCAGTCCTCTTCGTTATGCCGACCTCACATTGAGTATTTTTCTAAACCGTCTCTCCAGCTTGCATCGCAAGGGGACAAGGAGAAAACGAGAGAATAGACCGGCCCAGAGTTACTTGATCCCGGGTTGGTAAATAAGAACAGGGGCGAAGAAAGCTATTCAAAGCTACATAGAAATGGATACAATGCAGAGGTGCAAAGAGAAGACAAATGATAGGCAAAACACTTTGGGGGGATTACGCAAGCTTTTTGGACGGGGAAGCCGTCAAGTGGTGAGGTGGACTTGGCCAGCCGAGTGACGACAATGTTGATGTTGCACCTCTTGCTCGTCGACATTTTTGTTTTGCGATTCAGGACGTATTTATTCTGATTTTACAGCTCGACCTGGCCGCTTTGGCCAATTTCTGTATTCTCCGTGATTAAAACCGCAGGGGCGTTGGGGACTTTGACAAACTTTGATGCTTGATGTCCGGTGCGCCTGTCGTTCGTTGTTTCTGTTTCGTTTACAGGGTATATAACAAACAGGCAGGTCAAGAAAGACGTACCCTCGTTATGTGTCATGGACGATGGGAACGACAACAGAAGAGCAAATGCATGATTCAACAGACAACCAACTGAACAGTTGGCGGCGAGTCCTGCCTGAAGTCACTCCTTCCAATGTACCGAAAAATACGGTACACCACAATACGACAATGTACAAATTTGACGCGCGTTCTGGGCTTCTTAGGCACACATCACAATGACTAGCAATCCAAGATGATACGACGCTGTGATAACAACATGACAGAATATGATTGGATAAAGCCTGAAAGGGGGGACGAGCCCATCGTGACGCTGCCAAAAGCGATGAAGGGGTCTATTGATGTCCAGACCAGACGTCAGGCCTTGGTATAGCAGGTCCAGTATGGAAACTCGTTGCAAGAGCAAAGATCAGTCTTAGAATCAAACCAATGCCAAGATTCCAATATATTTGCTCTAAAGGGACATACGGCATCATAGACAGACCTGTAGCCTGACAACGAACGCATGTCTGGGTACGTTGGCAAAGTCTCTTTGGTCTCGTCGGCCCTTTTTACTTCGGACGAAAGCAGAGGAAATAAAGAAGCAGGACATGAAGGAGACCGAGTGCGCCGTCGTCTCTTACATTCGTAAGAAGCGGATATGTCGTTTCTTTTCGTTCCTATTATTTTCTATTATCGTTTATTTTAACACAAAGTATGTATAAAATAAAGGTATCAAATGACGTGGTGTGCTGACGATATCTTGCCTACGAAATGTGTACGCGTGCTGAAAGCGCTTCTTATATTTGCTGTACAATGCCGTTGATTTATTCCTGAGAAAACGCCGTGTAATAACTGCTCTGGTAATACACAAATACGACAAAAATGGGTCGGACGACTCAAAATGACTGAATGGCTTTCTAGATGCTCGTTTTTCTATTCGGTTCCTCTCCCTACATCTTGATCGTCATTGTTGCAGCCTCGTAGATGCTTCTCTCACTCTCTTTCACGTCGTCTCCCCTCTCCATCCTTTACTCATCGTAACGCAGCGGCAGGTCAATGTCCCAGCCAGGGCGCTCAATGAGGGCCACCTCGAGTGCCGGGTAGCCTGACGAGGCGGCCGGCGCAGTGGTCGTCGACGACAGAGGAACGACGCCCAAAATTGGGCGGTACTTGAACGTGTGCCACCACCGCGGCTGCTGCGGCTGTGGCGAGCGTAGGTGTTTTTGGAGCTGCTTGTCCGCATCCGCCTCGGCCGCGTCACTCCCGTCTTTTTGCTGCTTTCGTGTCTTCCTTGGCGACTTTTTGGACTGGTGCGCCTGTTGCTGCTGCTGCTGTTGCTGCTCCAACAGAAGCTTATGTGTCTGTTCCTCCTCCTCCTCGTCCTCCGACTCGTCGTCGTCGTCATCGTCGTCGTCATCGTTGCCATCGAACGAGTGTGTGCCCTTGTTCTCGGCGTCCTCCATGGCCACATCGACCCACTCACCGCCGACCGCCATCTGCACACGCTGAGGGTCCAGGCCTGTGCGCTGCATGCGGCTACCGGCACCGGAATCGTCGCCGCGCTTGCGCTTCCGCTTGGCCGGCTCGGCCGGTGCCACGACATCCGTAGAAGCCGACGACGACGGCTTGTCTGTAGAGGCGGTTGTCGTCGACTGCGTGACCGTCTGAGGCTCAACGGAGGTGTCGACCATAAACAAAAACGACGTGCCGTAGATCCACACGCGCGGGCCTTGCCACAGCAAGCCCTTGGCCAAGTCGCGGATGTTGCGGTACTCGACGGGCAGGTTGGCCGGGCTCAGGCGGCGCAGCCAAGGAACCAGGCGCGCTCGCAGCGGGTTGAAGGCGAAGAGGCGCGATGTCGCAGTGACGGCCAGCAGAACGTAGTCGCGGGCAGCGGTGGAAGAGGAAACGGGCTCGCCGGCCACGGCAGGGGCGCCGGGCACGTCGGCCGAGAAGGACAGCACGACGGGGGCACCCGACAGCTTGGGCAGCTGCTTGGCGCGCGGGTTCCGGATCCACTTGTTGCTCGTGTTCGCAACGATGCCGTTGCTGTCGTCCTCGGCGTCGGAAGCATCCTCGTCGGACGAGTCGTCCGAGTCCTCCTCATCCACGTCAGGCATCGCATCGTCGCCGTCCTCACCGGCCGCACCGGCCGCACCGGCTCCGTCGGTGCCGCTGACATCGTCCGTAATGCCATCTGGACCGCGCAGGATCCACGTGTCGATATAGCCTGCCAGGTCGGCCGTAGCGAGCAGCTTGCTGTCGGGAGAGAAGGCAAGGCGCACGATGCGTCGGTCGTAGCGGCCGAGCCCACTATAGAGTTCGTGCCGGGGCACAGACCGCCGCAGACGTGCCAGGCGCGCAGCCTTGGCACGGAACGCAATCGTGCCACTGGCGTCGGCGGAAGGAAGGGCCTCGATCACCGTCACATGGCTATCAACGCCGCTGGACAGGCACACCCAGCGGCCGTTGGTTGCAATGGCGACACCCGAAGCGCCCTTGCTGGCAACCGACGCCGGCACAGCCACCTTGGAGATGGCCAGGCCGCCGGACGGGACCTTGCGCAGCTGGAATGCCTTGGTCTCGTTGGTGGTGCCGGCCACGACAAGCGAGCCGTCGGCACTGATGGCCGCCGCCGTAATGTAGGCGTCACCTTTGACCACAATGCGGCCGACAAGGCGGCGGTTGCGCTCAAACGCCTCGGCCTCTGCGCCGGCCTCGGGAGACGCACCCTCGCCCAGGACCTGGTCGAGCGGCGTGTCAAAGGCCCACACATCGATGCGGCGCTCCCACCAGCAGATGACGAGCCGCGCGTCGGGCGCGCTGGCCACGGGCACGGCCTGTGGCAGGTGCGACAGCGTGCGGTGGTGCTCGGTGCCCGACTTCTCCAGGGGCAGCACAACGGGTGCGGCGTCGGGCCCACCGGCCACGACGACGCTCATGCCCTTGGCCTCGAACGCGGCCAGCGCCTTGACGTCGTGCTGGTGGTAGCGGCGGTGCCACACCTTGGCCCAGCGCGACGAGGCCTGGCCGGCCATCTCGCGGTACAGCACGACGCGGCGGTCCATGCCGCCGCTCACAATCGAGCTGCCGTCGGCGCTCGTGGCCAGGCTCAGCACGTCCTGGGTGTGGCTCTGGATGCGCTGGGCCTGCGTGTAGGTGGCGCCGTCCCAGATGCAGATCTGGCCGGTCGAGTCGCCCGACACAATGTCGCCATTGGGCAGGCAGCGCACCGACCAGACGATGACGTTTCTGGTGCTGGGCCCCGGCGCACGCTCGGAGAGCAGGTCGCGGCCCATGGTCATGGCGTGCAGCATGGCGCCGTTGCGGATGTCAAAGACGCGGATGGTGCCGTCTGAGCAGCCGGCCACGGCCAGCTGGCGGGTCTGGAAGGCGATGCTGACAATCTTGACGTTCTTCTTGGGCGTGCGGCAGAGCCGCATGAACCGCAGCTCGTCGTCGTCGGTCGTGTAAAGCGCCAGGCAGCCGTCGATGGTGCCGCCCACCAGGCGCTGTGTCGAGGCCTGGGACGACGCCGGGCCCTTGGCCGGGGCGGCCGCCTTTGGCTGCGTTGCCAGACACCACAGCTCGCCGTGCTGGCCGCTGGCGTGCTGCTTGGCGCAGCCCTTTTCCAGGTCCCATTCCGTGATGGTGTTTGTGTAGCCGATGCTGAAGAGCCGCAGCTGGCCGTGGCTCACGACGGAGCGAGATTTTTGGCCGTTGTGGGGTGTGCCGTCGTCCAGCTCCTCGTCGTCACCCACCACCCACGCCAGGCCCTCGACGCTGCGGTCGTGGCCTCCAGGGATCGTCGTCTCCTGCAGCCAGCTGCCCTGCATCGGGTTCCAGATCTCAATGTCGCCGTTGGCACGGCCAATGGCCATCCGCGCGGGCGTTCCGCGACTGAACTTGCTGTCGGCAGGGAGATGTGGGTGTGAGAAGGCCACGGCGTTGATGGCCGATGCCTTGTACGGCACAAATCGACACCGGTGGATATCCATTGTGTGTGTGTGTGTTGTGTTTTTTGTGTTTTTGTTTTGTTTTGTTTGCATTTCTCGTCGCTTCACTTTGTTCGTCGTTCGTACTCGTCGCTCCCCTCGCCGTTTGGCAGCTCTTGTCGTTTGTCGTGCGTGCCGTGGCTTGGTTAAGCAAGGTCGTCGTGCAGAGGCTGCAAAGGCAAAAAGCGAGGCCGTTTTAGCGGCAGCCAATTTGGTTTGCTGGTTGCTCTTTGTGTCTCTCTTTTTTTTTTTTTGGCCGTTTTCTGCCATCACTTTTTTCTGCTGCGCTCCACCGCCTTGTCAGTCGCCCTTCACCGCCCGCGCTTGCCTATTCGAGACTCAGACATCTGCGCCTGCTCTTCCCGGCCCTGGCGCCTGTCTGGCTCCTGCTCCTGCCCGGCATACGAGACCCGCCCCGGTAGCGACTTCTTCCTCAGCTCAGCACAGTTACATTCCTGCAGGTGCCCCGCGCCTTCCCGTTTACGAGAAATCTGTACGAGACGACAGCTGCACCTGCCATTTCCGAATACAGCGCGCTACACACCGTAGCAAAACTGTCGCAAGTTAACACAGGACCAGCAACATCACACCACTTTTCCGGCTGGCCGTGCGGTTCGCTCCTGCTCCTGCTCATTGCCAGCTCCTTCCCTCCTATGTCGGAGTCTGCACGGTGCGTCATCTTGCTTCGTTGCAACGCCTCCCAGCAAAACAGACTTTCTCTTTGCCCTCACTTTTGATTTTCTTATGCTCACTGTCGTCCTTTGCCTTCCACACCTTGTCTCATTTGTTGTCACTATTTTCGTGGCACTGTCCCGTGGCCATTCACAATCGGCCAGTCCTCTCTCGTCTGTCCTCAGACAAGGCATACTCACAACAGCGGGCTTTGTGAGATTCTCGGCCGCACGCATAAGTGGTACACATTGTGGCACGCACGTCATATGCGGAGAGCCCGGTAGCTTCAGCTTTGCCCGGCGTACACTTTCATCGATCCCAATCTGTTCGTCCGGTCCCTGCAGTCGCCTATTTCCTCCGTTGTCGCCTATTTTGGTTGGCGTTCTTGTCTCTTGTCCGTCTCTTGTCATTTTCTGTCTCATTGTCCCCTCCTTTTAAATTTGATTTTGTCTCTTTCTTTTTTGTGTCTTTCTTTACAATTTGCCCTCGTCCAGTCTCATTCATTCTCACTTTTCATTGATTTTTTTTTTCTCATTGTTCTCTTCTTTTCCGCTTCTCCGCTCATCTGGCTGATCAGAAAACTAGAAATTTTAAAGAAAATAAAAGGTCCATCTCCGCCCGCGACAAATCGCCCGTCTCCGCCGGACAACGAATCTACCTGCGAGGCTGCGCGAGGCTCCTGTGCTTCGGTCCTCGAATCCGCACCCTTTTCGCATCCCGTCTCCGCCGTTTTCGTCCCATCTCGCCCCGCCATGGACTTCAACAGCTCGTCGCCGTACCCCGAGGGCGTCATCTCGTTCCTCGACACGGACTTGTACAAACTGACAATGCAATGCGCCGTGCTCAAGTACTACAAGGATGTCCCCGTCACCTACTCGTTCACGAACCGCACGCCCGAGAAGAAGCTGTCGCGCACCGCCTACCAATGGCTCAGCGACCAGGTGCGCAAGCTCGGCAACATCTCGCTGTCCGACGAGGAGCTGGCCTTCCTCAAGCTGCACTGCCCCTACTTGACGCCCGCCTACCTCGACTTTCTCAAGGAATTCCGCCTGAACCCGCGCGAGGAGGTCACAATCGCCTTTGTCCCCGTGTCGCCCAGCAGCAGCGGCACAGAGAGCCCCGACGACCTCGGCGACGTCGACATTGCCATCCGCGGGGCCTGGGTCGACACCATCCTGTACGAGATCCCCATCCTGGCGCTGACCTCCGAGGCCTACTTCAAGTTCATGGACACGGACTGGAACTACGACGGCCAGCAGGAGCTCGCCTTTGACAAGGGCATGCGTCTGCTCGAGGCCGGCTGCGTGCTGTCCGAGTTTGGCACGCGCCGCCGCCGCGACTACCACACCCAGGCCCTCGTCTTCCGCGGGCTCGTGCAGGCGAGCCGCGAGGCCGCGGAGCGTGGTCTGCCGGGCAAGCTGTCCGGCACAAGCAACGTGCACCTGGCCATGCGCTTCAACATCCCGCCCGTTGGCACCGTCGCCCACGAGTGGTTTATGGGCATTGCCGCGCTGTCGGGCGAGTACCGCCAGGCGACTGAGGAGGCGCTGTGCCGCTGGGTGGGCTGCTTTGGCGACGGCGTCCTGGGCATTGCGCTGACCGACACCTTTGGCACCCCCGAATTTTTGCGCGAATTTGGCAAGCCCGTGCGGCGCCTGGAGGGCGACGCGCAGGCGCCGGCGGCACAAACAACAACAACAGCCCGCCCAGTGCTCGTATCGGCCGCTGACTCCTTTACGTCGGCAGCCTCCGACGCGCCGTCGCAGCCGGCCACGGGCCAGCAAACAAACAAGACCTACGCCCGCATCTTCACGGGCGTGCGGCAAGACTCGGGCGACCCGACCGCGTACGTCAAGCTGATGCGCGAGTTTTACGACGCCCAGGGCATCACCGACAAGAAGGTCATTGTCTTCTCCGACTCGCTCAACCTCGAGCGCTGCCTGGAGTACAAGAAGGTATCCGAGGCCGCCGGCTTCCAGCCCACCTTTGGTGTCGGCACGTACCTGACCAACGACTTTGTCAACTTGACCACCGGCCTCAAGTCTGTGCCGCTCAACATTGTCATCAAGCTGAGCTCCGCCAACGGTCACCCGGCCGTCAAGATCAGCGACAACGCAGGCAAGAACACCGGCGACAAGGCCACCGTCGACCGCGTCAAGCGCGAACTGGGCTATGTCGAGAAGGATTGGGAGGGCGGTGACGAGACCCGGCGATGGGGCCAAGAGGGCGACCAGCCCGACCAGCCCATCAAGGCATGACGACGCTGGGGAGGTTGAGCGGCCACTTTTCATGCGCCTTGTACGCTTGTCGCTGTTTGCGCTTTGTGTGTTTGCTTGTTTGCTTAGTTGTGTACCGATTTTGGGTGGCCTTGTTCTGTTTTGTATATTCACCAGCTTAATCGCCATGTGCCCCGTCTTGTCTTTATATTCCGTGTCCCGCGACTAGAGCATTCTTTACAGCTAGAGCATATACCGTTCCGTCGTACAAGTCAACAGTATCGTCGCCGTCTTGTCATTTGCGCAGTGAACTCTGTTTTGTTAATACCGCTGTGATTCGCTACTCTATGTGTCTGTTGTCGCTGAGATGGGCGTCGCTGTAAAAATGACCTCCCCCAAAAATAAAAACAAAACAAAAATAAAAAGCAAACGCTGAGACAGACAAGTTGTCGACAGCTGCAGCTACTTATTCCGTTCTATCAGTATCTCTTCGTCACGACAAACTTCCCATCCGACTTCAACAGCCAGTCCTTCCAACTGAAGGTCGTGAAACCGACAACCGAGCATCGCAGTCTATTGGCATGCGGTAGACCCGCGACTGTACGAGTTAAGTCTGCAAAGAAATCGTCGCGAGGGACGTATGCCCTGAAGTTGTCAAAACGATCATCTGATGCGACCTGAGGACCCTTCTCCATGGCCTTATCATATGGGCTGCACTTGCAACAGCCGCACGTGCATGGATCGATCCAAGAACGTGTCAGACAGAAGCAAGGGGGGTCTTGTTTGGCCGCCGAACGATACAGAACCCCGGAGTTGTTGAATCGCGATCCTCTTTTAATACACTTCCTAACACATTCCACGTCCACGTCCCCGTGGCGCCTTTTGTTGCCGGGCTTCTTTCTCACCAGTCTGGGCAATTTCGCTAATTTCGCCATCGTGCCCTCTATACTGGTTCCTTGTCTAGACCCGGCCGTCCCGAAGCTGTCTTGTTTGTCGCTAGAGAAGAGCTATAGCTCGTCGCGGTCGTCGGCAGCGCCATACGATGCAGCCTCAAAGAACGGGCACGGATTGAAGAATTCGGAGAAGTAGCTGAGCTGGTCAAGTTTGTTGAGCATGTCAGAGCCAGAAATCCACCCGAGGATGGCGCTCTCGTCCTGTGTACCGGTCTCTTGCTCGCTTTCGACAGCGTTCAAGAAACAGGGCACGAGCGCTGGGTTGGAACTTTTGTCTGGATCCATCACGCATACCGGGTGGACCGCGCAACACGTGCCACTCGGACGGTGAGGGCCGGCCGGGCAAATGTCGGTCGCCAGACGGGAGGCAAGATGGACTGGCAGCTCGCCAATACCAATGTTTCCTGGATCCGGGCCGGTTCTGCCGCCTTCAACTTCCGCAGTGACGAAAAGAGGTCTGAAGAGCACAGGCAGGGTGTTGACCGCAACGGCGGCGAAACCGAAAACCTTGTGCATTAAGCCGCTGTTCACGACGCGGCGCACCAGACCGAGGATCTCCATTCCACTTTGTGTCAAGCACTGCCGAGTCCAGGACGTGGCCAGGGACAGTCGATAAAGAAGCGAAGAGAGAAACGGGGGTCAGGTAAAGCAAGTGAGGGATTGCTGGTTGTGGTTGAGAGCAGCCCAGTCTCTTAGCAAAGTCCGGCGAGGAATGGTCGGTCAAACGACGCTGTGCCAAGCAGAGCGGCCGTTTCGATCGATGGGGATTGGAGATAAGTGTATCGTGAGTACGGAGGACTCTGATACAGGAACAATAAATGCTGTGTGTCTAGGCATGACCAGAAAACGAAGCTTAGATAAGAGCTGTTGATGAGGTTGGAAAAGGAGGGAAGAACAGAGCAGAATGGAGAGAGAAGCAAGAAAGGGAGAAAAGGAGGGGATTGGGAATAAGGGGGAGAGTGTAAACAAAACAATGTTACGAGGTCAACATGGAGGGTCACTCCTTCCCGTTGTGTGTAAGGAATAGAAAGGAGGCACTGCTAATGGAAAGAGGACAGTATAGGTAGAGGCAGGAGCGATGAGGAGGGACCTATGACGAAGACGCGGCAGGAGCAACCACGACATTGCTTAAAGCAAGCAGTCACGAAGCACACAAGATGTGGACCTCTCTATACAAGAACGAGTAAATGACTTATACAAATGGCATAGACAGCCCCCTCACTACATGAACAACATGGCCATAAAAGGAAAAACAGTCGGTCGGCTGTACTTGCGCTCTTCTATATAGATTTCTACCCGCGCCCAGAGTGGCCTGCCGCCGCCTATTAGTACATACACAAATGAGAGGAATAAGAAACATGGCGAATAACAACTGATTTTTTTGGGTTTGATTTCTCAGCCACGCAAGACAAAAAACGACCCTTCACCTCTTTTTCTTTGTTTTTGCCTCATTTTTCTGTCTTCCGTCTCTTCTCCCGTGGAGAGTCTGTCGCTTAAAAGTTCCGGCTCATGTCGGCGCGGACACGGGCGTAGTCAAACAGATCCTCGACGCTGCCGACGGCGCTGATGGCAATGTCCTGGTCCCACAGTTTCCGGCGGGCAAAGTCCATGACGTCCTTCTCGGTGATGGCGTCGATGACGCGCTCAATGGCGGCGGGGCTCATGCGGCTGCCGGTGGTGATGATCTGGCGGCCAATGTCCTCGGCGACGGCGGTGGTGCCGTCGAGGGACAGCAGGATGGAGGCCTTGAGCTGGGCCTTGGCGCGCTCGACCTCGGCCTGGGTGACGTTGATGGACAGGCGCGACCACTCGCGCAGGGCAAAGTGGACCAGGTCGTC